CAAGAGTTAACCAAGTGAGCAGTAATTAACGTGGCGTTTACGTATTTTCTTATCCTTCAGATAATCAAATTTTTCGCCTTCTGTAATACCCTCAATTTGCTAACGAATTCCTCTTTGTGCACTTTAAAACGTATTTCATTACATCGGATTTGAGGCAAACGTTGCCAACAGCAGCAGCTCGTCCTGCAACAGGATACCTGGTCAATTCCTCAGACAGTGCCCGACCATTCAGCTACACACCTTTGTACGCAATTTTCATCTCTTGTTGCATTAATTACCACACAAACAGACAAAAACACTCGCACACACACTTGAAAAACAGCTGAGAAAAAAATCTGTGGCATCGCTAAATTGCACTTCAAAAGCTCGAAACGAGGGCGATGAGAGAGTGAGAGAGGAATGGGTTGAGGATGAGGTGGGCTGATGTAAAGTGTTTGCACGTGAGTTTGTTGGCGGCAACGTGCGCTGATTGAGTTCTCTCCTCTTCACTCATGCACAGGCAAAAGGATAAATGAAGGACGACGCTTAGATATGATGTCGGGGAAAAGAGCAACCAGCTGCAAGCTGCAGAGTTGTTGTTTGCTTTTTATTTTCATTTCTGCTTTTTCTCATTTTTTTTTTTGTTCTCCTTCTTTTAGCTTGTTTGAGTGTTGTTCAACCGCTTTGGCAAATATTTGATTTTAATTTTTCCAATTAATTGGTTTTCCATCAAAATTTAACAACGCGTCCTTGCACCTGCAGGCATCCGTTTCTTTTTTTTGCATGTGATTTGGTAGATTTAAAATGTTGCTAAAATATAACAAAAAAGCTAAAAAGAAAAGGCTATTTTCGGTACCCCGAATATTAAATACCCTTGGGACTGGCATGCAGTTAAGTGGGGAGCATATTGAAGCTTGCAATAAGTGAGTTTGGTTAAGAAATCTTCAAAAACATAGAAAAATTCAGTTTCCGAGCGATTCTTTCCTTAAGATATAGCACTCCGAAGTATATATAATTATGCAGATAAGTAAGTAGCACAGTGAAACTTGTAAATGCCAAGTTTGGTTAAACTATCTTGAAAAACAAATAAGTTTTTGATGGAGGATATTAATTTTTTACCCGATCCTTCATATGGCAGCTATATGATATAGTGCTGCAATCCGATCGATTGCAACAGTAGAAAGTTTCCCATAAAGTTGCATAAAGATAGCTTTAAAACTGATAGAGAGACAGTCGAGCAGATGGACTCGTCCTTAGATACAGATCAAGCACATATATAATATGTATGTAGGCAGCTGCGTCTTCTTCCATCAGCTACATATTTCGTAGCAAAGCGACAACACTCTCTGGCAGGGTATATTATAATGGCATAAACAGCAAAAACTTTGTCCAGCACTGGCTGCTGGCCGCAGTTTGTCGTTGGCCTGGGCGTGGCATGTGGGCGGCCGCAATGTCAACTACAAGAAAATTGTCACTAATGAGTGGTAAAAAGGCCGAGTCGACTAACCCACGCTGTTTGCATAGGCACAGGCTTTACGTGCTGAGTTGAAAGGGTATATGGCAATGAGCTCATGAAAATGTCATAAAGAAACTTTAACTAAGCACGGTCAGTGGGCGTGGGCGTGGGCGTGGCCATTGCCGTTGCTTTTGCTTTTGCTGTGCATAGTCAATATTGGCAAATGTGTCAGCTGCAGCGGTCGACTGAAGCTGCGGCTTATGAGCAGCGAAAAGCCAAACGAAAGGGATAATGAAAACCACAACAAAAGCACCAAAGTTCCACACAACACAGAGCGCAACGGAAAACCGGAAAATGTGGAGCTATGCAGGAGCAACAGCAGCCAGGACATGTTCTAGCCACAGAGAGCGCGACATTTATGTAAATGGAAATTATGTTGAGAGCACAAAAACAAAAGCTAAAATGCATTGAGCAAAACTAGTTGCCGGACTAGGCAATACCCTGTACAAACAGAGAGCTATCAAGGTATCTCTTTCGCATCTTCCTCAGAGCTAAAACTTGATGTTGAATATCTTTGAATAACTATTCTGTTTATTTTTAATAATTTGAGAGAAAAAAAATGTATATAATAGAAAACAAGATAACTAAATAGGGTAAAGAGGATGAAATGGGAATTCGTGTTCCCTTTATATAAGGGGAATAAAGAATTGAAAGTAGAAAAATTGTTGTGTGCAATTATAACATAAGCATACCCGTAATATTTACTTTGTACAGGGTATTGTATAAAAAATAGAACCTGTAGTCTAGTCTGAACTTTTGCGTTTTCTGTTAATGAGATAAGCATGCAAATGCGCTAATAGAATGCGAACTTGCTCTGGCCAGGACCTGAGGAAGTCAATTAACAGTCGAGATGGAGCATGGAGTCGGGAGTCGGGATTCTGGAGTTTGGAGCCCGGCTTAGCTGCCGTACATCATCGTTTATCTTAATAAACCGCGCCACTCAGTCCGACATTAAGCCGAAGAGCAGCCAAAAACCCTCTGGAAAATTGCTTAATTCGCCTGAGCCTGGGGGGGTGGCATGGCCAGAGGCGACTTTGGGGTGGGGGGGTGTGAAATCAGAGCCTGACAAAGCGAATGGTAACGTGTGTATGCTTAACGTTAACGTTAACGTCGCGCATGCTGCATTTACGTTAAGGTGAAGGTGGTGGCGGCACACGTAAAAATGTTGATAAAACGCACAAAGCCCGTTGATGATTTCAATTTATATATCCAAGTGGAACTCATCTTCCAGTTGTGCACACGTAGGACGACGCGTCACGGCGACTGTTCAGCCAGTCAGTCAGCCAGTCAGCCATCCATCCACTCAGTCATCTTTCGTGGCGCACACATTGCTGCAGCGAATTTGCTGAAGCATCTCACGTGCAACATAATTTTTCCGAGCGACTTGCCGACGAAACGCGTTACATGAATGCCACACCGTATGCGTGTGTGTGCGTGTGTGCGCGTGTGTATGGGTGAGTGCTGTGCTTTATGCTGCAGGATGTGTGGCATTATGAGCGTGAAGTAGACTAAATAAATTACATTTAAGCTCAAAGGTGTTATTCGTTGCATGCCATGGGACACGAGGTGGGCGTGGCTGGTTACTAGCCCGTTACTTTCAACATAATTACGCCATGTCAAAGCTAAAAGTGCAGCAGCTGCTCATTAATTAACGAATTGAGAGCGCGGAGAGCGTCAATCCTGATGATATCATTCTGTTCGATGGCATACGGTAATATATTTTTGGTTTATAATTTGATTAAATATCAAGGTTCGGTTCGTGAAGCTGGCTTTTAATCCTTGAGTTCGGACTTAGTGTCCGGTCTTTCCAATTTCCCATTTGTACTGAATATATAGAAAATCCTACATATTTTCATCAACAATAAACCGGCTAAATTAGACCTCTATCTAAAATTGACCAATTTTATATACTTAGTGGTAGGGACTCCTTGGAACTCCTGGTTGAATCCATTTCGATATTAAGCCAACCTGCAGCCTTATAGTGAATCATATTTAACTGATCTCCGATCTATCCAATTAACAAGTTCTTTAAGACTCAAGTTTTTAAGAGAGCACCAGCTTTTTGAACTGCTCGTTGAGCTATATTGCCTTAAAGATTTTACTATTATTTATGCCATGAATTTCTCTCGTCTTAACTATGCCACTTTATTAATCCATTTACGCCTCATTTTACGCCCTCCACGTGGGTGACCAATAAAATTCCGTGTTTAAATATTCAAAGTTTAAATTGCTGCATAAAAATCGCAATGAAGTTTTCAATTTTCTTAGGCGGCTTTTCTTAGGTGGAGGCACGGTTAAAAATGCGCACCTGGTCACCTTTAACGGTCGTAAATAGTGAAAGTTAAGGCGACTAAATGCTAATATCATAAAATGCCGAGCCAAATGCATTAAGAGCGTTGGCAAATGCGCCGTTGAGTGGGCTGAGGAGGGGGATTGGCGCAAAAGCGTGAAAACTTTGCTGGCATATAAAAATGGACAAACTTTATGCAGTTTTAAATGTTTTCGTACAGATATTTAAAGTGACTATCGACGGAAGATGCCGGCTGCAAAATGCATTTGGGCTCTTGTAAAAGTTTCTGGCAAGCAAATGGAGCAGGAAACAGCTGTCCCTTCATATCTTTTGCATATCAAAAGTATCGACGACGACGACGACGGCGACAAGGACAGCGGAGGGAGGCTCACATTGCAGTCTTCGTGTATGTTAAAGTGAAATATATGCAAAGTTTTCCTATTGGGCACAGGGAGACACCCAAAAATTCTCAAAATTGCATTTGGCTCCCAAAATAGCTGGTAGCCCAGTGTGTGTGTGTGTGTGTGTGTGTGAGTGTAGCTGCATGTTTGCATAGATGAGTGCAAAGTTACATTCAATTTAAATGCACTTGCAAAAGTTTACACCAAAAAAAGTTTTTACTCAACGAAAACTAAACATTTTGTTATCGCCACGATAATGGACCCGGAACTGCACCGATTGCGTCTCCAATATAAATATACAGACCAAATAGATGTACATATGTACATACCATGTATTTTCCAGGGTCCAAGTGTTTCAGCTGTAGTCAAAGTTTATTGCATGCGCAATTTTGTGCCAATTTACCAGTATTGAAAAACGATTTCCACATTTTATTGATAAGAAAACGACACCAAATAACATTTACTGCTTTTACTTACGCTTATTATTATTATTATTCGACGTAATTATGCTTTTTCATATTTTTATAGCAAAAACTAAATACAAAAGCAATAACTGTAGGCGTGATCAAGTTGGCAGCAATGCGGATATTTACGATAAAACGGTTATTTGTTTGCAATAGATATTGAATTAATTATCGAATCTCGAAGACCTATCGGTGTGTAAAAGTGTATCGATACGAAATCTTAAACGATAGTATCGCTTATCTGTGAATTGCCTGTTAATGGCCTGTTAAGCAATGCGACCATGTGTATTGGACCAAAGGAGAATGAGATTACAGTTATTCGGTATTTTGACGCGTAAAGTGAGGCTGTTTCTGGCAATTTCAACAAAGTGTTTATGTTTATATATTTAAGTGTTAAGTGTTCTCGATTTTAAGAATAACTCTAGCTCGTTTAATATCAAGTGCACGGTGCATAGTCAGTGAAAAGCCAAGAGACGAACGATCAAAGTAAAGTTGCCGCTATAGTTGACTTATTAACTTGGCCGGCGGCGTTCGCCAGCGTTTTCAAAGAAATTAAACAACAGCTGCAGCACAAATGCATCGATTATGCCAAGTCAGTGCAGACAACAGAAAACATCAAAATTAATATTCTCAGCTATGCAATGGAAAAATGCCAAGGAACGCGCGCGGGCATATAAAAATGAGTTGCTTTGAAGTTTTCGCTACCAAGCGCCGCCGGGCAACAACAAAAAACGAAAATTGCAAAAAGAAAACATGGCGAACAGCATCCCGCCTCCCCCCCTGCCAAGCACCCATCAGCGGCATCAGCTTCAGGAGCAGCAGGAAGAACATCATCTTGCGCAGCGTTTGCTTCATCAATGGAGAAGCTGTCTGGCCCAGAGCGCAGAACCAACTGCTTTTGCAAGTAATTTCTTGAAAGTTGTTCTGAAATCACAGCGCGAATTGTGAATCACTGGAAATGTACTGAATTTAAGCGCTGAATATGTGTTATTGTATCAAATGCATTTTAATGCAGCTTATTAAGCTTTAGCCGTAGAGCACAACCGTCACTAATACCTGGCTAAGGGTATCGTCAGAGCGGGTGCGGTGGAGGGACGCAGAGATAGAGTGCTAGAGCGAACGGCACCCGCAAAGAGAATGGCAAACAAAGTAACTGTAACCGGGCGATGCGTTTTTTGTGGTTTTGCGTTTCGTTTGCACAAAGAAAACAAAAGCAGTTGCAATGAAGATGCAGCCAGGCAAAGAACGAAAGAGAGCGTGGGCGGAGGAGAGACGCAATTGGATGCTCTGTTTGTGCGCTACTCACATATTACTCATGTGTGCCCGAGGCATAGCTGTGTGCAGAGCGACGAGGGGTAAGTGTATGCTATGTATGTATGTGTGAGTGTTCGGCAGAGACGTGAGCTGCTTTTGTTCTGGGCTATGCCGTATCCCTTTGCTGCCCCGTGGCTTATGCTACACTTTTTTAATAAATTATAAATTGCTGCAAATATATTTGCAGGCAGGGATTACATTTATCCCTTCCGCCCCTCTGCCCGCATCCCGCCCGCTTGTTTGCATATCGCTAGTTTGGCTCATGTCCCAAGTGTGCGGTTCTATTGCCACCTCCCCCTCCATTTATCCACCTCGATAGTTGTATGCGTGTGTGTTCTCGTATGAACTTTAGGATTTTGTATTCATGCTTAAGTCACGTTTTGCACATTTGTTAAAAGTAGTTCTTAAGGCGATTGCAACGCGCGCTGCGTTTGCTCGACGAAAATTGTGTGAAAAGTCTTAAATTAACTGCAAGTGGTGTTGCAACTGCACGTGGCACAGCAACTTGCCACTTGCCACATGCAACTTGCAACTTGCAGCAGCAACGCCTGTTTGTCCCAAGGCTAAAACATTTTTTAATCAATCACGCACATGTGCATATAATTCTTGTAGCGCCCCAAAGGCGATTGTGGTACATCAAATAACGGTAGAAAAACTGAAGTGAAAAATGCAAAAAAAAATTACTTTCAACAACAATTTTAAAGAAATGCGTGTGCCACAACAATCTTAGAACCGTTCTGCTCATAAATTTCTAAGGGCTTTCAATTTCTCTTTTGTCCTTGATAAAGGTTCTCATCCATTTGTTTGCGCCCAACCCATTTTAATGTTGAAATAAATTCATTAAATTTTCTAAAAAAAAAATAAACAAATTTTTATACTTTTGCCAAACAATAAAAATGTCATTTTACGGTGATATATGAGTTGTATAAAAATTTGCCCCGTCTCGGCTCAACGCCACGAAAATCACGTAGTACATTTTCGGCGTAAACTTGAAAAAGCTGCCGGTTCCGATAATTCGTCGCGAAATGAAACATGTTCCCCGAACTTTTGCAGCGCTTACCCATTTCAATTTTTTGCTTCCTGCATATTAATTTGAAATTTGTAGCATACTTTGAACACACACGCTTTTCTGTGTGTGCATGTGAGTGCGTTGTGTGTTAACGAAGTCATAAATTTTCAGCACTGCTGACAGTTTTCATATTTGACTTTTGCTATGCATGTTGGAAATTGCTCAAATGTCTAACAAATGGACGATGTTTGGGGAAGCACATTTCATGGAATACCTGCATTTTGAAATAGCCAAGGTGTTGGCTTTAAGGTGGCATAATCCAGCCAACGATTTGGGTTCGAAGCGCTTGCATATAAGATGAAAGCACATTGGACTTGTATGTATTTTGAATAATCACGAGCGTAGTCCGAGCGAAGTATTTGATTTATTGCGGACCCCTATCATAAGTCATTGTCCATTTTTTGTTGTTTACAACATTTTAAAGTAAGCTTAGACAGCTTATTCCTATTCTTTCTAGTTTTTAGACTGCCAAAACCCCCTTCTACATTTTATTAATTTGTATAAATAGTATTTAACGAATTTTCCTCGGCTTAACCCCCTGTCGTCATAAGGAAAGATCATTTTGAATTTAAAGGGCACAAAAATAAACTCAAATATTAATTTTGAATACAAATTTTGTGTGTATTTAGATGAAAAAATTACAGAAATTTGGCCTTTGTATATATCCAAAATTCAAACAAAATGAACTCTCAATCAGCATGATTTTAAATATGATTTGAACTCAAGTTAGATGCAGGATTAAATACTTAAGTTTTGTAAATGTTAAAATATTTTGTATGGATTATAATTCAATGGCTCTGAACCTCTGAGCGCATAAAAAACAGATCAAAACGGGTTCAAATAATATTATTCAGTATTCATAGCCCTTGTGCGTATCTTTTTATGTTTCGAAAAGCGAACCATAAAGGGATCTGGAAACGTGCAACTGACACAAAGGCGACGGCAAACTCGATTCAAGCTTTTACAATTCGCATCTCAATCAGAGGCACATTCAATCAAATGTTTTGGCACAATATTTTAAAGTGTAAACACACACACAGAGGAAGAGAGAGAGAGAGAGAGAGAGACACGAACACGAATGCACATATTTATTGTGCATTTGTTGTCGCTGATATTTATTTACTTTCTTTGGGGCTGTGCGCAACATTCGATAGAGCATTGAATTACATTTCCATGGAACGCTGCTGACGGCACGAAGTGCAAAAAGTTTTCAGCTGCACTCGGTGGAAAGTTTTTTGCTATTTCCGGTGGCAACGACAGCCAGGACAACAAGCACGACGACATTTTTGGCCAAATTGTGTGTGAAATTGAATTGCAATTGTCAATAATTCGTTTCCAAAAATATTTCCAGCGCTGCCAAGCAAACTGATTGAGTCAACGAGCGGCGCTAAGTGAGAGCTGAGTTGAAAAAGTTGCGTGTGCAATGCGATTATAAAGTTTTACCAACCCGTACCCCTACTCCCCACCTGCAATTCCGCCCCATAAGAAACTTTATCGCTGTTGCACATAGGTAATAGCTTACCTGAGCGTCTAATTAAAATCAGTTTGAACTTTTTGGCCATGCACAGTTGCGCCAACTGATTGAATGTAAACTTGCCCAAGATGACAATTTCCAATAGTACAGACCTTGTGTGTGTGCGTGTGTGCCTTAAATCATTTCTGCTGCAGTCATAAAATCCAATGAGGCGCATACAATTTATTTGTTTTTTATGTGCTCACAACTAATGTTAGGCAGGCAGCTGGCAGCTAGATCAGATCTTGTTTCGTGCCTGTCCAGAGCGGCACGTACCAAAAGTTCCGCAACGCAATTTTTGAGTTTTACTAACGTAAAATGTTTAAACATATGTGCAAATCGAAGACGAGTCTCAGTTTCCGTGTGTGTGTGTGTGTGTGTGTGTGTGTGTGTCTGTCTGTGTCTGTCATAAGTTCGAACGCTGCTGCTTGAGGCGGCAAGAGGGTTTGCAACTGAACCGACACCGACTTTGCCTTTTCTTTGGCCGCAACATTTGACACCTGCTATGCTTTTGTTGTGTGTGTGGTTTTTTTTGGTTGTGGCCCGGTGCAGAGCGATGTTTAGGTGTGTGTATGTGGTTGGCATACCACCCATTGTTTCCATTTTATTGTGTGCTTAAATATTTACACAATGAAAACGAAGCGTTTCCTTAAACACACACACACACACACACACTAGACACATGTATTTATGAGTGTGTGCCCCACAAAACACATTGTTTTTGGGGGCTTTGCGTGTTTGATTTATGAACGTTGTTGTGTTCCTTTGTTGCTGTTGTTGCTGACCCCCAGTTACACATATGACACGATATTTTATACTCGATTGCCAATTATGACCTGTTAAGGGCTTATGGCCAATCGTGTGTGCCTGTGTGTGTGTGTGCTTAAGAGTGTGTAATTGTTTACCTTAAGGGGACGATCAATTGAACAATGACAAAAATGTTTGAGTTCATGTTGTTATTAATTGGAACTGATATATTTATTCATAAACTGTACAATTTGTATGCTTTGGGCTTCTTTAAGATACAACTTTTTTCTATATTTTAAATTAGAAATTGTGTTTTTTAATAAGTCAAAACAAGTGTTTTGCTTGTGCAATTGACTGTATGAACGGCCTTTTATCTAGAGCGAGTAATAGAAATCTTTTCTATTCAACTTGCATTTACACGAATATTTATTTGACCCGGGCAACACTGCTTAATTTCCTCTATTATAATCGAGAGCAGTAAACACTCCTATATCCGAATTCCTTCTTCTAGAAAGATCAAGAACTCATAAAAGCGAGTTTCTATCAAGAAAACTATCAATATATACTCATTATATATTCAAAAACTTGTATAATACCTCAATTCAACTAATTGAAGTGTATCAATCTGTCAAATTGATTTATGGTAACTCTACTTTAGTGCATACATACACAAATATACATATATTTCTTGAAATTTATAAAACTCTTCCGCTTTGAAGTGGTTGCCTAAAAATATTCAAAGCTGTAGCTTCTCGTGCCAGAGCAGGCTATGCTGATGTCGGCCAATTGAATATTTCATGACATTTGTCACTTGCGCATGCAACAGACATTCGTTTCCTGTTTACAACGCCTGCCAAACCCCTCTGGTTGCCATCTATCAGATGACTCTGTGATAACTTGAAGTCCTCGCGCATTTGACTGCCTGTTTGGGGCTGTCTTCTTTCCGCTCTCCGCCTCCTCAAAAGTGTGGAGCTTTTTTGCGTATTCAGCATGTCAACTGTGGAAACTCAATTTGCCTAAGTAAATAAACGGAATATGAATGTTTAATTTATTTTACGAGCATAGATATTAAATAAACACACAAGTCATGAGTCACACGAGTCGCGCCTGTGTATGTGTGTGTGTGTGTGTGTGTGAGTAAGTCATGGTAAAAACTTTCCCCTCAAGCCAGAAGTTGCAAGTTAAAGTTTGGGTTATGAAAACAGCGACTAGGCAATTGCGGGCTGTTTGTAAAACAACAAATTTGCAATTCGTGAAGTTTCTCTCGCTATGAGTTTTGAATCGCAATTTTCGGGGCACATAATGAATGAAAGGAATTGTCGATTTCTCAGGCTAGGCGACAAATCAATGAAAGGCGCAAAAAGTTTAATTAAATCAACCCAAAAGCGTGCGCAAACATTTCTGTTGAATGATTCGCCTCCAATTGAAAAGAGCTCTCAAATTAATAGAAATCTCATCACATGCAACATGCACGAGTACATTTGGCTGCGGTTAATTAATTTTATATCAACTTTCGCTTTTGCCACTTTCCATTCGGCCGCTTGAGCAGGGCAAAAAGTCAAATTACAAAGAAATTGTAAATGCGAAAATGTGTGCGGCCACAGGTAAGCAGGAAAAACGGGAAAAACCTGGAGAAAAAAACCACCAGCGGCAAATTCACATTTGCATCTCTCATTTAATTAAAAATGTCGTTTCGGTATATTCAACGCGCTATTTAATTAAGATACAACTTTTTCTCTTTCCCTTTTTTTTTTTTGCTGTTGCACACATTGCGTATACGCAACGTTCAACTCGGGCCCAACAATCTTCAATCAACGTGCACAGTACATCAAATTTTGTTGCGTGACTCATAATTTGTTGTTGACTTGTTTACACGACACCCCACACACTCAAACCCCTGCCCTTGCCCGTGCCCGTGCCCGTGCCCGTGCCCCTTGCCCCCGACATACTAATAATGATGATGCGCGCCTTTATGAATATTGTTGCCCGACTTGTTATATGGTTGAGCTGAAGTTGTGACTGTGTATCCCCAAACATAAAAACCTAAGCGTTTCGCTTAGCGACATTAAATTTGTGAGCGTTTTTTTATATGACCAGATCGTGTTATTACCGCTTGTAATCGCTCCAGTTTTATACACTTTGCTGTTGATGATAAGTGGATGGATTTGTGCTCAACTGAGCAAATGTTATTTTTCTATAGCTTGCGACTAAATTTACAATCAAAGTTTTGGATGTTTCGAACTTTGTTTATTAAGGGTTATGTTCAGAAAAACAACTTATCATGAATATACTGCTCGGAAGCATAAACTCTTTAGAGAGTTAGAGCTCACAAACTATATCCAACTATTTATGTACCTAGCAAATAATACTTCTTTTATTAGCTGCTACTTATATTGTTCTTTGTGGGTTATAAGTCGGGTTTAAAGCCTTTTAAAACACCTTGGCCCCTAAGGTCCCAGTTATGATGCCTATTTAAAATACTTATATATTTTCCTTCTGCTGACTATTGGTTCCATTCGCATACTGCTATGAAAATAGCGATCCGAGATGAACTAGCTGTAGATATTCCTGTGATTCTATCAGAAAAGATGCTACCTAGGGACTTCAGTTTTCTTTGTGAGGTTGCGGAGCTGGAACATAATAGATACTATACCGTTTGTGCTTCATCTTAATATATATATAAATAGTTGGTTACTAAAGTAAACTCTAAGAACCTGAAATTTTTACTGAAGCTTCGTTTTGCGTGGAAAGTTTTCAAACAACGCAATTGTTCTTCGCGAACGTTGCATAATGAGAATGTGTAGGTTAGGTATTTGAGGGTCGGACTAACAAGCGGCAGATCGCCGGATCAAATCCTTCATCAATTTTCGATACAAATACGCTTGGCAAAATTTGAGATTGTATATTAAGAATACAACAATAGTTAAATTTAAACATTTTATTTACATTTTCTGGTTTCATAGCTCGTCAGAGATCCTCCAAATGAATTACTCGTATGCCTCAGACTATAGAAGTTGTTTTAAATTTTGTATAGTTTGTGCGCTGCACCGCAAATCAATATAAACAAATAATATCCACAATAACGACTCAACCATTCACACATGTTTGCTACGCAAACATTTAAATTAAGCTTGAGAAATTTGTAAGAGGTGTGATGTAATTTAAGGTAAATTAGGGCTTATTCGATAGGCCCAAAATACAGTGTTTGTTTAAGAGCAGCTGTCACCTTGATGCGACTCGACTTGAGCCCAAGTCGATCGTTAAATATTTGAAGATTTCGAAACGTTTTTTGTTTTAATTTAGAAAGATTCTTTAACCTAGTTACAATTTGTACAATTGCTTTATCAGAGTGTGGCATGGGTTGCTGTGAGATCTTGTGTATCTTTTGGTATAAAAACTCAGATGGGGCTGACGGTAAGCACAGTTAATTGCGACCTGTTGAAGCAGCACCAGTGACTAGCCATGCATATCGTGTCAGTTGTAACCCTGCTCTTGGGCAGCATATTCGCCTACACCCTGGCGGCGCCACAGTTCGGTCCCAACTTTTATCCCGGTAACATGGCGGCACTGACTACTGCTCTGTCCCAGTTGGCCCATCAGCTGGCACAGCAGACAAATTCGACGGTCCGATTTGGAAACAATTCGGTGATCGTTTCGGGCATTTCAAACTCCATTGCGAATGCGAATGCTGATCCACATAGGCACCAGGGTGTGAATCCTGGCTGGAATGATGGCTGGAATAATGGCTGGAACGGTGTGTGGCGCGGAGTGCCCGAGTATGATAATCCCGAGTATGATAATCTGCCTGAAGAGTTAGATTTAGAAGATGGCGATGAGGATTACCAGGGTGGTGTGGAGGAGGAGGAGCCAACAGGTGAAGAAGAGTAAAGGAAATGTGCAAAGTAAATTTCGCAATTCTTAAATTTCGCAATTCAACTTGCACTCTAAAATGAAATCAAATCAAATTTATCAAACTAAGGAAATTCAAATCACACCCACACAACGAAATCTGTTAAAGAATCAAATAAATACGAGCTAAAGCAAAAACATAGAGAAATCCAATTGGAACTTTGAGTTTTGCTATGCCATCGATCGATATACAATTTGGAAATGCAATTCCTAACAGTCCATATGATTCAATTATAATAAATTCATAAGCCCCTTGCTTTTGATTTGTTTACATTTTTGTTGCCGTTATTTCTAAATATTTTTATGGAATTTGCTTAAATGCAAATATTATTGCAAACTGCGAATTTTAGTCATGCATTTTTATAAACCAACTCATACATTCAATATTTTATCTGCAAAAGGGGTTAAAGCTTAACTATTCATGTGTGTGCGTGTTGCGTGTGTCTGTGTGTGTTATATGTGTGTTGCTCTGATTCTGTCTATCTGTTGCGAAACACGGCGAATTCTCGCGGGTAGCATAAAATATATTTTACATAAACGAATGGAATTGCACATTAATATGCACAGCAAAAGTTTTATAGTAAACCTCTCCGAACTGGCTGTGGGGTAGTTTAGCATTCATAAAATACCAGCATATCATTTCAATTCGCTTATTGTACGCTGACTAAACTTTTAGATTCTGACATATGCGAGAGTTTTGCAAGACTGTCAAACTGACAAAATGAATTTCTGATGCAATAGACATGGATACATTTCGTTAGCAATAATATAAAGTTATGAAATAGTAGCTTATAATTAATTTGTGTTTTTAGACGGTATTGGAAATTGTCACGAAATTTGTGTGACTTATTTTCGAACCTCAAAAGCATATCATTCATATAAGTTTAGTGCGTATCTATATTGTACTAATGGGAGCTATATTCTATTGATTTAGACTTTCTCTCTGCAAGGGTATTTAAACTTTTTGGAGGAAACTCTTTTAGCTTGTTTATGTTCATATTAAGCATACGCCAAGTGTGACATTTATGGACGTGCTTTACGAGTTTGGCTCCTCGCCCAATTTCAGGCAACAGCTTTGGCAGTACTTTAAACTTGGCTCTGTTTCAAATCAAGCAAAATAAATGTTCGACTAAATTGTTTTTTTACTGCGAACTATGAAGGATGCTCTCTGAAACACCGACTGGACTATGTAAATGATCTGGAAGAGAGCCAAGTGCAGAGCCAAGTGCTGCCAAATTGGTAAATGATTTTCAGTGGATTACGAATTTATATGTGTGATATCAGGTTTATAGTACAAGCTCATTTCGATAGGGCCACGATTTCTTCTCTCCCCTTTGGGGAACTAACAAATCACTTGAATCGCAATGCGTGTCTATCGTTTGAATTGCGACAAATGGAACGCATTAGGTTAACATTATTGCCAAACAATTTGCTCCAAATGTGTTTATTTGTCTCCCTGTTGTTGTCACACAACATTTCTAGTCGTGTTTCTATTTTTTTTCTCTTTTTGGACGCACACACACACACAGACCGAACAGCAACAAAGTACAATGTATTTGCCCACTCCAAATATAATTCCTTAGCCAATTGTGCTACATGTGACCAAACTTGAAATCTGATTAGGTAAGGATGTGGACTGGGGAACGACAAGCGAGCGGTATGGGTTGAGTGAGGACGACTGGCAAAATCAAGCAACGATAAATTGCTGAAACTTGTAACTGATATTATCCAATACGAATACAATTTTGTTGTTAGCCTGTTGCTAAAAATGTCCTGGCTTGTGCTCGTTCGTGTTGTGGGGCTTCCTGTTTGTCGCGCGCCTGTTTCTTGGCGACACTTGCCGTTGGGATTCGATATTAAGTGGCAAATTATCTTTTTACTTGTGTGGGATTTGTAATGGCAATGCTTTTAAAAAGGGTTTACGTGTAATTGATACCACTTCGAGTAGCTCTTAGAGGCCCTAAAAGTTGCTGTTAAAGCATTTGCATTTGTGCATTTAGACAATTGATTCCGAAAGTGGGAAAGAGTCACACCTTGTTAGATATTCATGTGCTTTGCTTATTTTTATTGATACTTTTATATATACATACAATTTTTAAAGGAACTTCTTGATTTTAGCATTGAATTAGTGGTTTCTAATGCTCTATTTTTTAAATGCAAGATCCTTTGCCGTTGGTTGTGCATTGCAGATACTCTACATCGAACACTGTGCCCTCTTCACAGACGACAGCGTAGGGAATCGGATAGTCACAGACAACATACCGATTACAATCGTTAGGATAGGGCAAAATTGTACCTAGAGGATGACCACAGCATATGTTGGGTGTATCTGGATGAATCGTTGGGGTTGCTGGAGTTGTAGTTTTTGGTGTTGGCACCTCTGTTGTCGAGGTATTCTCGGATGTTGTCGAGGCTGTGGTCTCTGGCGAAGTCGTAGGAGTAATTGGAGTCGTGTTAGGTGACGTGTCGCATGAAGGGGTCGTTGTCGGTTCTGTTGTTAAAGTTGTTATGGTTGATTTTTCGGGTGTTGTGCTCGTAGAATCCGTTACGGTAGTTTCGGCTGTTGTCGAGGCTGTGGTCTCTGGCGTAGTCGTAGGAGTTATTGGAGTCGTGTTGGGTGATGTGTCGCATGCAGGGGTCGTTGTCGATTCTGTTGTTAAAGTTGTTATGGTTGATGTTTCGGGTGTTGTGCTCGTAGAATCCGTTACGGTAGTTTCGGGTGTCGTCGAGGCTGTGGTCTCTGGAGTAGTGGTAGGAGTTATTGGAGTCGTGTTAGGTGATGTGTTGCATGAAGGGGTCGTTGTCGGTTCTGTTGTTAATGTTGTTATGGTTGATTTTTCGGGTGTTGTGCTCGTAGAATCCGTTACGGTAGTTTCGGATGTTGTCGAGGCTGTGGTCTCTGGCGTAGTCGTAGGAGTTATTGGAGGGGTTAGGGAAGGGGTTGTTGTCGATTCTGTTGTTGTGGGCGTTGTTTCTGTGGTTGTAGAGGAAGGTGTTGTTGATGCATCCGTTGTTGTTGCCGCCGTAGTTGGCTTGGGTTCACAATTGGCCAATTCCGGATCCATACACTCCAATTCTGTGGGACTAAACTCCAAATTCTCGGGGCAATCATAGCCAATGGGTATAGGCTCTTGGCAAACAATATACTTGCCGCAATTGTTTGGATATGGCACTAGAGTTCCATCGGGCTTTCCGCTGCAAATGCCACCGGAGGGTGCTGGCGTTGTAGTCTTTTGGGTTGTTGTTGTATCAAGAGTTGTGCTGCTGTTGGGCTCACTAGTCTCAGGTGTTGTAGAAGTCTTGGAAGTTGTAGAAGTCTCAGGAGATGTAGTTGAGACTGGAGAGCTTGTCGTGATACTGCCCGTTGTTGAACCTGGCCAGATGGGTGTAGTTGGGAGTGTTGTTGAGTCCGTTTGATCTGGCGTTGTGCCAACTGTGCAATTGGCGAGCGAAGCCTCCATACATTCACGCAACACGGGGCTAAACTCATCGCCATCATCGCAATCATATGCCGCGGCTATTGGGTGATCGCATTTGATGTACTTGGAGCAGTCGTTGGGATATGGCACCAGTTCACCATCAGCCGCATCATCGCAGGGACCCTTTTGCGGTGGTGGCCGCGTCACATGTGTTGGCTCTGTCGTTGTAGGTGTCGGCGTTGCCTCGGTTGTTGTTGAAGTATAGTCCCAGCGACAGGCATCGGATGGCACGTCCGCACCGCATTTGCCGCTTATCGGATCGTAGTATTCGCTACAGTTGCACACATCCATCATGTAGATGTAATCGTTCACACAGCGTATGAACCACTGACAGTTCTCGGGATAGGGGAACGTATCCCGACTGCTGTTCGTGCACATTGTCGGCTCCAATGGCGGCCCTGTGTAACCAGGTGTCGTGGCCGTGTCCTTGTCGCAATCGCTGTCCTCCCAGCTCACACACTGCTGCTGCTTGGCGCTGAAGTAGGAGCCGGGCCTGCAGTAGAAGGCAACCGGAATTGGCGTCACACAGACAATGTACTTGCTGCAGTCATTTGGATAGGCAATCAGTTCGCCCTCATCCCTGTTGCCGCATATGCCGCCGGGTTGCACAGGAGTTGGGCTTGTTGTTGTTCCCACGCTTGTGGTGGGTGTCGAAATGCTGGTGACAGGTTCCGTTGTTGTTTTTTCCGTCGTGGTTCTTGTTGTAGTTGTATCCTGCTCCCTGCAAGCTGTCGGCGACACATTTGGTCCACAATCGCCAGTTTTTGGATCATAGTATGTATTACTAATGCACTTTGCAATATAGAATTCGCCATCGCCCAGGCAAAGAATGTACGATGTGCAATCCTGCACATACGGGAATGTAGCGTAAAAGGGTTCATTTGCACATAGCTCGGCTGGTCCGGGTGTTGTGGTGGGCGTGGTCGTCACCGTTGTACTGCTTGTTGTCGTTGTGGGCGCTTCTGTGGTGCTGGTTGTGCTTGTGGTTGTCGTGCGATCACCATAGCAAATAACATCATCCGCGCTATCACAAATCAGAAAATCGGGATTGAAGAGCAGCGGCTCGGCGCACTGACCCACTACCACTTGATTATTGCTGCACTGCAGGAACTGAGAGCAATCGGCTGCATAGGGGAAGCGTGTGTAATCGGGCAAACCCTTACAGAGATCGGGATCCACATCCGCTGGCAAGGCTGGTGTTGTTGTCGTTGCCACTGTGGTGGTGGAGCTGCTGCTAACGGGCGTTGTGCTTTTTCCTGCATTGGTCGAACTGCTCGTATCTTCTGTGGATCCAGGCGTTGTGGCTACAGTTGTTGTTGGATACGGCTTAGGATTGCAGTGCACCGAATCGGGCGTGTCGCATATATGCAAAATTGGATTAAAGAGTTTATCAGGTATGCAGTAGTCCTTATCCGTGCAGCCATGACGACAGCTGATGTAGGCGCTGCAATCGTAGGGGTATTCGTAGAAGCCATCGCCCAATGGTACGCAGTAATCCGCTTCAATGCCATACGGCGGAGCACCACACTCACCATCTTCAGTCGTTGTTGTTGGCTCTGCAGTTGTTGTTTCTGTTGGGTGCTCGGTTGTTGTTGACGGCAATGGCAGTGGCTCACATTCGGCAGTTTCGGGCGTATCGCAAATGAGCAGCACCTGATTGAAGACTTTATCGGGCTCACAATAGTTTAAGACTGGATAGCCGTGGGTACAGTTAATATAGGCATTGCAATCGTACGGATATCGATGCACCGAACCGTCAGTTAAATTCCTACAAAATGTATAAGGAATGCCCGGTGGTGGCGGTGGCGGATCATAGCTGCTTGATGGCCAATTTTCCTCTGTTGTGCTTGACATGGGTGTTGTCGTTGGCGGAGTGTAAACGGTGCTGCTTGGTGTTGTGGCAGCTGTGGTTGCTTTTGTTGTCTTGGGTGTTGTATCGATGGTATAGTAAAGGCATTTAGTGTTTTGTGGCCAGTCACAGTTTTGCGTCTCATTGTTCCACCACAGTTGGCCGGGGCATGGCAGCACGGTGGGATATTCGCAATCACAAACTAAATACAAGCTGCAATTATCTGGATAGGGCGCCCGATAGCCAAACTGTACGCCCGCGCACATGACCTGGTTCTCATATCTCTTCTCATTGTTGCAAGTTTCGTGCCTTGGCTCGCCGCGCAGGGCCAAACACGCGGCTACCAATACGAACAGCACTGGCAGCCAGTCCCAAGCATGGGCTGGAAAAAGACGCAAGTATATTGAGAATTGCGATAAGCACTTTAATATAAATCGTCATTGTGAATTCACAGTAGACAAAATTAATTTCTTTGAAGAATTTACCTTTCATTATAATTTATTTTTCTTTTGTTGTTTGAACACTCTTTAATTTCTCATATATTTCGCCAATTATTAGCAGACTATTTTTTCTTTTCCTTATAGTTGTTTTCTTAAATATTCACTGTTTAACGATCGGTTCGAGACTAAACCTACTTGGTCAAAGCCATTTACTATATAAACTTCCTAGGAGATAAAGTTGATAATAAATTGATAAGATATTATTATTTTAAAGTGTATTTTAATTATTATTTTAATTGATAATACGGCTCGAATAAATCAATGAAAGATGATTTACTTCTTATCAATAGAAACATATACATAAGCAATGGCATTTGGTGCATTTTAATCTGTTCCCAGAACGCTCTAGTTAATGGTAGATAATAATAGGGAAATAATATTGACACGCGTTGTCAGTTCTCATATCTATAGAAAGTTGTTGAGTGTTTCCTTTGCTTAGTCACAATCTAAAAAAATTGCGTTGATAAAGATATTTGTTTCTCACTTGCAAGTGGTAAAACTTAAAATTACAATATTATTTACATATTTAAGCGCAGATACTCTTTTGCAAATGGAACAGTTTACCGGTTTTGATCTACATTTGAATACAGGGCTTCTTCTGCTTAAAGATTTTATAAAATACACAACTTGTCATTGTTCCTCTTAAAGGTAAACGATTTTATTCCAAGTTCTGTGAGTTTGACACGTGTGTGTGTGCTGCTTATTGCTGTTGTTATTACACTTATTGCTGTTGTTGTTTTAATGAGACAACGTGACCTCTCAACATTCAGAATTTATGAGAGCCACTCGACGCTTGAATTACACAAATAAAAAATGCGAGCATAAACATAAATGAAGCCGGGATTTCAACGCGCCAGCCATTAAAATAAAGCGACAAAACATGAGCAGTAAACAAAATTGGCAGCAAACTCGGCTACCAATAAAAAGACTTTCGGTTATTATTTTTCAAAGCAAAAGAAATAGAAAAGTGCAACAGCATTTGAACGACAAATAACTTAAAAGCGTAAATCTATTTACCGATTTATTTTCGCCCTGCAAAAGTAGCTTCTGTTTTGTAAAGAACGTTGCAAGACGCTGCCACAGCGAACGTGCAGAAACTGTGTGGGAAAATTATTGACATTTTTTTTAAGAAAAGAAAATAACAGAAAATTAAATAGATTTTCTCCAAAAACTGCAATTCACTTGGTATTTTGTTAGGTGTTTCCCAAATAGATTATTCACGGCATAAAGAATTTGTTTTCCAATAATTCGAATAAGAACTTGACTAAATATATCGAAGGTGACCTTTGTTAATAACAAAATACAGTTAAAAGTGTCATAACTAATAAGTATAATGACCAATCCTGATAGCCCCATGAAGGCAATTTTTCAGCTTGATCTGTTGGCTGCTGTCAAGCGTTTGATCTGCAACAGATTGAACTATCAATTACGAGCCGGGTAGACGTGACCGTCTAACAGCTGCCTGCCATGTCCCTGATGTGTGCAAGACCTGGCATATATGTGACACACACACACACACACAGACACAACTAGACTAGACTTGAGCGGTGGCCAGGTGGTAAAGCTGGAACGGACGTTTAGTTACAGCTGAGCACCTGTCGTGCCGCATCAAAAGAAAAGCAGCGAGCGAGCAAAGGCGTACGTGTCCTACATGCACCCAAGCAGCAGAAGTTGTCATTGTTGTTGTTGCTGCTGCTGCTGTTGTTGTTGTTGTGCTGTGTGCTGCATGAAATTGACCTCGTCCGTGTGCGTGTTGCGCTGACGAGAATCGCCTAGCCCTGGCTTGGTTTATATGTTTCGCACGGCTTACGTGAGCGGTTGATACATGTGGCAACCTTCACGCTTCCGGCTGGGGGGCGTTTGGGATATCTACGCTAAGACAAAGCGCCACAAATCAAGCTGTGTACGCTGCGAGCATAAAAAAATTACACCAAAATACGAAATGAAGCAAAAGGTATAACAAAATCAAAGCAACATTCAATACAGAATCCCACTCAAAAGCAAACGGGCTGCATAATGTCCAGACTGTGCCTTCGCCTGCATTACATAGTTCTTTATCTTTGTTTTTTCTTACTCATGCTTTGGCCACATCTGTTAATTAAAATCCAATGAATCTCTGTTTGCTCTCGTTTGTTATGCTGAATTTGCATTTTTACTAAGCCGTTTTACAATTTCCACTCATTTTTTGTGTCAATTTTAAGAGCCACAAGTTTTGGCAAAAATCACATTGTGCTGCCTGTTTTTATAAAAATGTTCGCATTTGATTTATTTTTGGTATTGCAACATTTTTGTCTGCCCATAAAATATTAGCTTGTGGCGATTTTTGGATTTTGTAAAATATATTTTATGCTGAAATATTGTTTTCTAAATTCCAAAGTAAATATTTGTACATATCTGTAATGGCAACTGGAGAAAAAAGGCATAAATAATTGAGTTACGATTTTGTTGTGACAATTTATTTATTTAATTTTTGTTTTTGAATGTGGCGCAAAGTAATGCGGGCATCTTTCACCTTATAAACATATCTTTTATTTTTTATTTAACAAACATTGCCGCAACTTTATTCAAGTCTTACAACTCTTATACAAATTGCTTGAAACTCTCAATAAGAAGCCGAACCTTACCTTAAGCGGTTTTTAAAAGAATTTTCCTGCGCCTGCGCATTGTCTTGCCACTGAGCGAGTTCTTTTTTGCTCGTTTTCGAATGCCGACTCCAAACTTTTGTTCGTGGAAATTCACGAAGTTTTAGAATTTCGAGTGCGAAAGTAAACAGCGAAAGTGAAGTAGAAATACTGTCATTGGGCTCAGTTGCTTTTCAGCTGATGGCGAAAGCAAAAGTAAGCGGAGTGGAGCTGTACAACTTTTCCATAGAATAAGCCTAGCTGCATTTGGACGTAATTGTGCAGCACTATGTAAATCAGTTACCATTAATATTATCTAGAAACAAAGGCTATCAACATGGCCTGCATTGATTTTGCAATCTTTTTGTCTGCTGAACAAGACTGACCCAAAAATAAGAAAGGGGGCTAGGAAAACTTTGCATATTTATATAGGTGTGAAAATCAACACAATACACAAGCAAAATTGCTGCATTTCGTGTAGAAAGGCAATTAAAAATACCTTTGAACGAGAACAAATTAATTGCCAAAGGAAACAGTTGCCTACCAAGCCAGCTGGCCTACGAAACGAAAGCTATTTTTTAATTGAGCCAAGTGTGAGGCAAACATAAAGCGTGCCGAACGGGGCGTAGAGCAGTGAAAGTATAGAGTGCATGCAAAGGCAAACAAAAGCGTAGAAAGCTGCATTTGCCAGCCAAGCCAGATGGACAAATGGAGGGGGGCGGGCTGAGGGCTAAGGGCTGGCAGCTACAGCCACAGATTAGCCATAGGGTGGAGGGCAGACCGCACAGCAGGAGCAGCACACGCAGCCGGACCAGTGTTGGGTGGGCCAACAAGCAAATGCAGTGATTTATGCCAGGCTGACAGACCCCAATGGACGCCATGCCTGGCAGCCGTTATGCACTTGAGGCATTTGTTGCATGCAACCCAGCAGGGAGCTGCCGCTGTGTGTGTGTGTGCCTGTGCGTGTGCTGGGATGTGCATTCTTTGGCCGGTGTTGATGATTGCCCCGGCTCCTATGGCCAGTCAAAACAAAACGAGAACGCATTCCTGTCTTTCATTATATGTATTAAATTGAAACGAGTGCGAAAACTGGAAAACAGTGTAACTAGCACCTCGCCCATGCCATACATCAGCGCGTGTGGCAAGCCTCAACAGGAATTGCTATAGAAAAAAAATGTTGTATGCGCGTTGACAAAATTGCGAAATGGCAGCGAGTCGAGACTTGCTTGATGAAAAGATGCACAAAAAAAAAAACGAAGCAAATGGCAGCCAAATGGAGCATTTGGAAAAGCACACGGCAATGCGCTGTGGGAAATGTGTGAAATTTTTCAGCTGCAGCACAGCAAAAAATACAAAAAAAAAAAACTGCGGAGCAACTTTTGGCAGCCTTCGTTCGTCGACGTTTGCGTTGCTTAAAAATTTAAATTTTCATTTTCTGCAGCAAATTGGGAAAACCTCTTGAAAAAAAAGACAGCAGCTGCCGCGTGGCGCTGAAGTTGCTGGCAAAGTTTTTGTTTTAACCACAATGCGCTCTATTGTTGTTGTTTTTTCTATTTTTGCTGTTTTTGTTGCTGTTGCTTTTCAGTTTCAAGTGCGAATTGCATTCTGCTTTTGTCGCATTTGCGGCTTTGTTGAGGCAACTAAATTTCCTACCAGACACACAGCCACCTGCTCGAAATACCCAAGACCCATAGACAGTTTTAACCGTAGTAACTACAACTAATCCACAGAGTGTCGCTGTGTGTGTGTGTGTTTGTGAGTGTGCGTGTGTGTGCTGTGTGCTGTGCCACTGTAGGCAGCTTGTTTCCAAGTGCACTTCATGCTCTGCCCCTGCTGTGCAGCCGTTAGCGAATTTTTCGGTTTGAATTTATGAGGGGAAACGAAATGAAGTGCACTTGGCTGCGACTACCAACAGCCTCAAACCCCTGCTCGTCCCATCCACTTTACTTTCCACTTGACTCACTCAACTCGACGCTGTTTTGTGGACACAGCAACAACAACAACATCCCCACCGCAGCACTGCACCACCCCGTCAACCCATCTCTGCATCACAACAGGGTATGTCATTTGCAGTTTTTCGCCGTCTGCGCCTGTAAATGTTTTATTTGAGTATTATTACTTCGACTCTTTAGCGGCGCGTTTGAGCATGAAGAGCAAAAATATGACTAAAAGTGTTGACTGGAGGAGGTCGGGCTGCTACTAGGCGATAAAGGGTTCAAGTTGTGTAAATAAATGCTTTTCTTTGGGTGGTTTTTTATTTTTAAGTGAGCTATTCAAAATAAGAGTATTAAAATTATTAAGTGTGGAATTGTGTGATAAGGAATTTCCTTTTTCTCTATTTTTCCGGTAGTTGTAGATGTTATTCTAAGCTAATTTATCTGATAAAAAACACTGACGTATACTTAATATTTGCTTAAGCTAGAGGAATCCAACGTTTTATTAAAGTAGTTGCAGAGATAAAAGAGTTATTATAGGTTTGTTTGCTATATTTA